GGATTGGCGAAGCGTGGGCTCACGTCTGGTTTACTTCAGACTCGAAAAATGTCAGCGACTCATTACTGGGCGGCTGTATTGTAGGTCCGAGTATGTCATGCAGATTAGATTGTGGTTACGAGTTTGTTTTCGGCTGGTCCCAGAGGGCCAGCCTGAAGCGCCCTCTTTGTGTCCCACTGTCTGATCGAATGACTGACTGTCACTTGTGAGTCGGGTGGTGCTGTCATATAGGATTACTCCGTAACGCCAGTGAGTGGGCTAAGTATTGTATCGTGGTAGTAAATGAATGAACAAAAATAACGAAAAGAAGGCCGGCCGATAGGCGTTACAAAACTCAACAACTTTAACTTGCTAGTGTGGCCCTTTATATAGGGGCAAGCTAGATCATGTGCGCAAGGATATTACATAAAGTAGTCCCACAATTTACATATAAATAATCATGTTACACTAAATCATGCCCAATGTGTAGACCCAATGCCGAAAAGGCTTTCATCGTACGTATACCAGTCTCTTGACTCTGCTCTGATGAATAATTTAAAATTTCTGATTACACATACCCTAATGTTTTAAGCCACATTTAAAAAAAAAATAGTTGAACGTGAGGCTTGGAACGCAGAAATAGTCTGACACCATCTCATTCAACAGTTTACAATTTATAAAATACATTAAGGGAACACGACCAAAAATGTCTTCCTCGTGAGTAATGTCGCTGATAAATTAGACAGGTTAGACTATCTCAGTGACTTACCAATATGCATATACATCTTGGGGCAGCTTTGCAAGGCGCGTGTGATGTAGAAACTACACTAAACGTGCATTAGTCTGGTGCCGCTTGTTTCATGCACTTCCATGGTACATGCACATGTGAAAGCTAGTGCCAACGGAGAAAGTACATTGTTCCTTTCCATCATGCTAGTACCGCCATACCGGAAGTCTACGAAATATGTTTAGCTTTTCCGAATTAATTGAATAGAAATGAAGTTTCTGAAGTACATGACCAGAAATTAGAATTGTGTTTGGTCTGTCGCAAGCTGTAATTAGTACATCAGATTGGTGATAAGATAGTTCAGTTTGATGATAAAAGCATAAAATTTGGCACACAGTCAGAGTTTGTCATGGGAGAGATATTTGGCTATATATAGGGCCGTCGCAGATTTGTCATTTGAAAAATTACCATCAAATTTCAAGCAATTTTCAAAATTTTCAAAATGGCGGCCATTGCATGTTATTCTATGATATTTTTTTCAAGGGACAAATCTGCGATGGCCCTATAGCCAGATACTTTTTCCCATGACATACTCTGACTGTGTGCCAAATGTCATGTTTTTATTATCAAATGAACAATTCCATCATATTGTGCACCAATCTGCCTGACTATAATATACTTGTTTTATCTTGTTTGTCTGTAGGCGAATATGCTATAATCTGTCACCGAGGTCACACCATTGTTTTTCAAACATCATCTTTAAGAAATACTCGAAGCTGTTGAAATATTTTGCGATCTTGATTCGATAACGGGTTCCAACGACGTGTGAGTGATGAGGCATTGCATTAAATGCCACAGCCAAGGCTGGTATGGCGAATATGATTGATACCAACTCGACCTACGTGTTTTTATTCAACTCAGTTGTGTAATATTTTTAATCTTAAAGCGGCTTTTCATCGTAACTAATGACCACGTGACTCCAGTCCTTGACGTCATGATAAACTTAAATATTGCACTTTGCTGTACGAGCCTGAGTGTGATTTTTTTGTGCAGTGTTATTTTTACCAACATGCATCGCTTTTAAAATAACGCTAAAGATTGGGGTCCTGACACCCATCTGTTTATAATTGCGTTGTACAACATCCGCAGATGTGCATGCTAGTTAGGGTACCAGACTACCGGCAAAGTACCAAAAAAATGAGGTTTTTGCTGTACGAATCACGTGATTGTCAGCTATAATATAGTCAAATGTGTTTGCACGTAACGAATGTGTGTATACGTCAATCGTTATTAATTTACTGAACGTTTTCAGAATTTGCAAACTCAGTTCAGCAATTGTTGCATTTAGCTTGCAGAGTTTTAAGTTGGCCGTGATTTCAATTTGAGCTACAGTATCCAATTCTAACAAGTCTAAGGCTATACCCATACCATCCCGCCCCTTTAATGCACCCCGTTTGGGAATAACATTGTGACATTTTTTGCACCAGCAGACGACCGTCATGTACCAAGGAAAAAAATGGCGCGCATTATGTTGGAATGTGGCCGACACAGCTGCATCCATCTGGCGAAAAGTTCCCATCGTTGCGTGTTTACGGAACCAAAAAAAAGTCGGCCCAATGGCACTTGACTCCTTGGAAGGAAAGGGAGCTTATGAAACCCTCTGACATTCTGAAAAACGAGCTCAGATTTATCATTCCGAGGCAGAAATGTTTCTTTCCCAAGCTTTTGCCGTCCTTGAAATGTAAACATGAAAGTCGATACGGTTCAGACCGCCCCTGCCGCCGCTCCGTGTGTTCCACGGATCACACTCTAATGTTCGCGATCACACTCGCACGATAACTTTTGGGCACAAGAGTGTCCGTGGACGTTCGTGACATTCGGGTAGAAATTAATGTGTTTGCCGTGTCGTCGGTGATACGAAAATATTATCGCGATTATTTTGGGAGAGCGAAATGACAACAACTGAAATGTCAGAGACAGGCGACCTTTGCATTTGAGCGGGCAGAAGCGAGCGTCACATTAATGTGTCGTGATGGGTTTCTAAACTTAGCGAGTCGAGTTCCAACATGAATGTACACAGAAGTTGAAAGGACTGTGCAAAAAGCTTTCTGTTGATCAAAATTTGGAAGCTGTTCGAAAAGGGCACCGCGAACTTTACTCTGAGCGATTCCATGGTTGCTAGAGATACAAGATGTGGAACTTTCTTTTTAGCATCTGGCATTTAATCATTTATTTTGTATTTGGAATATTTAAATTCCGATGTTAGTTTACTATTCCTGCATGATTGCTTATTCGTTTTAGACTCACTGCCCCCAATTCACCAAATTTAGTTAGTCCACATTTTGTTCGGTAGCAATTGGGTACTCATCCGTGAATCTGGTTCCCTGACCTGACAATTCCCTGATTTTCTATAAATTGCTCCGTTTCGTTTGAAGTGGGATCAGGGAACCTGACTACATGAACATTTTCTTTCTTGGTTTTTCCAGCAACTATGAGCACAAAACTTAAGGTCAGTGTTACAATATTGGCTTTAAAATAAACCCTCAAATCCATCCATTTCTGAAAATTTCAGCAAAGACAAATGTTGTATAGTAAACCTTTAAGTTGAATTGAACTGATTTTCAAAACCAGGTTTTCTTTAACGAATGGTAACGAAAAGACACTGTCACACGTCCTTCGTTCGGCCCAGATATTGCTGGACAATCAAAGCTGTCATGGGTGTTTTTTCTTGATCCATATCAAAAAAAATGTTTATGGCTTGAAGGCAAGACACGTCAAACGGAATGTCAAGTCGGTGATAAGTGGGGCAGGAGTCTCTTTTTCCCCGAAGCTATATACGCACCAAATAGGATGGACAAGGAACAAGTACACGCAACACCAATTCATCACGGTCTTATCCCCTGTCTTAAGAGCTTTTGGACCTAGTGGTTTTACTGGTTTACCAACGGCCTTTCAAGAAAACCACCTCTGGATGAAATATCGACCGACTGTTACCTTTACATATATCGGCCTGTCTTAGCCAAGCAGTGGCTGGCCCTTTTGGCAATCACGGATTAGCATAACTCTCGAACGTCAACGTTGCAAAGATACAGATTTTTTGTGAATCATTCTAGGTGTTGATTTGCACAGGTTATCTACTTGACAGAATAATTATATTCTTTATGCTATAGATACATTTACTCATAGCTAACCGAAACATGTTTCCCTTTAACCATCGGCTGAATGCACTGCTCTGTTATTCGGACTGGAACTGAGGCTATATCCTAACCAACTGAAATTGTCACGGTACACAAAATAGTTTTGCCTGATCAAAGCATCCACCTTTCCTTGTCATTTTTTTCCAAATGTGAAGCTGTACACAAATAGCTCCTGATTGGCTGTCTCTGCATTTCAGCAGAGAAAGCCTTTGTTTTCGTTCAGATTTTGTTTCTTCTTTTTCAGACTTCCTCCATACGATTTGTATGTGTTTTTCTCACTACCAAACGATTTTGGCACTTTTGCTATACCCCTTATATTAACATTTGGATATTTTTTGCTATAACCCTTATATTAACCTTTATACCCAACAGATCAAGGGGCTCGAGTGGGCCCCCTTCTCTCATTAATCTCGAAGTGTATTGTCTCATAATTATAAAGGTCGTGTAGGCACGTGACCGTGATATTGAATTGATGGGGACGGCAAGCGCGCACATTGCGAATGCCGTATAACCCATTGGCCACTTGGTCCAATGACGTCATATCTGCAGGGCCTTTGTAGAATAATTCGGCGAACAACGTAAGAAGTCATTTTTGTGAGACGGAACCACGTCCGCACGCATTCTGCACGCGTTCTTAAAGGCAGGCGCGCGCATCTTGGTATCCCTATTGGCCGAAGGAGCCGGAGTGCGCGCATGATTATGTACTACATGTACCTAAAGCACGACTGGCGCGAGCCTGGTGCCGCCGCAGACAAGTTGCTGTCGTCGAATCAGTCTGTAACTATTATGACAATGACAGTAGCCTTGTAATTAACTGATAATCGTATTAATTAACCATTCTGATCTCTGTCTTAGCACTTGTTGCTGCTTTCATACAAATGATCACAACCTTTCACAGTATGTCGACTCACGGCTCCCACAGAAAGAGGTTAATCACTCGTAGTGGATGTAGTAGTACATTTTGCACCACCCATTTCTCTCGCCTTGCCACGCCCACAGATTGGCCGCCTGTCACGGCATAATGAAAGACATGACATCTCATGAATTGAACTCACTAACCCACCTTCTTACAACTCTTTCTTCCTCACAATGCGTAGATGCTAATTCACTATCGACCACTGCCCTTCCCATGGTCTCCAAGCAACGTCCAATGAAAGGCAGGTTTTCACTTTGCTATTCGTAGAATAGATGACGTCACCATTGTCCACATTTCAAACGCCCTCTCTTGAACGTAACCCGATGGTGTCACATTATGAAAACAAACAAAGGGGAGCAAACCACTGTGTAGCTTTTTCTGGACACTTTCTGGTTATTATAAGATAAATTTGCGTCTGGGTGTTGTATGTCAATATTAGGTTTTGCCCTTCACTAACGTATAAACCCTGTGTAGGGGGGGGGGGCTACTCAGTGTGTTACCTCCCGAGTGAAAGTTGAAAAATCACTCGGGTAGGACTCGAATCCACGACTTAAAAGCGTTTAACTTGTTTGCGTTATAATTTCGCAGTCGCTTAGCATGGATCAGTTGAGGGCACCAGAAACAAATCAGTCACCGGGGGATTGTTTAAGGAGTTATACAGCTCTTTAGAAAAAAATCACTGCTACAGAACTGTATTCATGCTGACTGAACGATAGATTACCTGCCACTTACTGGTTTGCATCAAAAGAGGGCGTGTGTTTTTGATTTGTGGATGCAGTGTCTTTACAAGTGTCCAAGAATCGTAATTGATTACATGCAGCAACACTTTAGTTGGATTTAGGCTAAAACGAAGATGGTTAAGAACACTGGTTTTTTTCCTGCTTAATAATATTACTAGTTTTCTGAAAAAAATAACGTTTTGACGTAACAGATCTCTTTCCATAATAAGAAAACGTGAGGTGTTCCATTTTATCTACTTTTTAACCAGTAATATTGGTGAAGGTTCAGTAATTTGATTTTACAACCCGTTCCTGGCCTGTTTAAAGCTTCAGTCGAAAGCCCTAATTGAAACGTTCGGAGAAGGCCGTCCTATCCAACTTGATTGACTTCTAATCCTAGTTGATTACCTTCCAACAGGCATGGTGGCAGCAGTGGGATCACTCTTCACACAGTGTCACGACGATGCCGACGCCGCATCAATAGTTGAGTATTTCTGCAATGCCGACTTTGGTAAGTACCTTTTTGAGATACAGAAAACCACTGCAACTAACTATTCGCTTTCTCCAACTTGGTCGTCGATTTAATAGCTGTTAACGTTTATACCTCCAACCAGTTACTGATTATGACTGATACATTACAAAACTCAAGAACGGACATAACATACAGAAATAACGAATATGTGAAGGGAAAAAACCGGTGTGCCTATCTCCCGATATTTGTTTAGCCCCACATTTTACTGTAAATGAAAATTTGTTGGGGCTGGAAAAGAAAAGATTCCGCTTTCGAAAGGAACATTAGAAAGTCGGCTCTCGGAGAATGAATTATTTCCGAGATGTGTAAACCAATTTATACAACCTTTTTTGATTTACGTCCTCCACTTTTGAAATCCAGCCTCATATTTTTTACAGGCCTGTGGCTTTGGGAGCCATTTTTGGAAGTAATATTTTTTTGCGAGCACTTATCACCAGGGGAAAAACCTCAAATATGCTGTGCGGGGACACGGCCCCTTAAAATACCGATCCTTTTGAAGTGATGGCATGGTGCCGACTCCTGAGAGATGACGTCATGGATTTAATGGGAATCAATATAAACGTTGGACTGAGCACTGACGCGAAGCCTAGGCTTGATTCGTGTGGGAATTTGTCTTAAAACCGTCTGCAAGGCATTGCCAAGAATGCGAAGGATTAATGTTGCACATTAACCACCTCGTGGTAGATTTATTGAGTAAAGAGAGCATCGGCCACCGGCGATTTCAGGCTCGAACGAAGACTGCACGGGCCTGTGTATCGCAGGTCATAAAGTCAATGGGTCTAGTCGGCATGTGCCTCGTCGTAACTCCTTCATTGCCGCGCGGGCAAAGAGCGGAAGAAAGTGAGAAGAGAAAGAAAGATTCTAAACAAACTACCGGGCCATTATCTGGAGATTTACGGGCCCAGAGGTGGCGAAGTGGGAATGGGTTTCTTGAATTTGTCACGCATCAAAGATGTAGCACTTCCTCAGTTCTTAAACAATTCAAAAACAACCAACCCCCTTCTGGTGATGATAACTGGGTTATTTCCTGGGACTCGTCCTGCTGATTTGCGGAGTAAATCATTAAATAATTTCGCTCTTTTCACACTCCGCCATTGGGCATGCAGAGCCTCGATCTGGCAACTTTACACAATAAAAATAGCCGGTTCAGTGATCTGAGCCCCGACGCGGGAATCACTGAACCGGCTTTATTTATTGTGTAAAGTTGCAGATCGAGGCTCTACATGCCCATGGCGGAAGTGTGAAAAGAGCGAATACCAATACCTTAATTCTCTCCGTCAATGTATTTTTGGGGTATCCGACGACAGATGTATGTTTGCCGTTGTACATGAATTGCTACTTAATAAGATTGATTTAAGACTTTGACTGGAGCGGGGGTTGAACCTGCGACCCTCCAGATTGCCGTTCCAGTTGTTCACTAACTGAGCTATCGAGCTCTATGCTGCCGGTTTTCCATGTTGTCAATAATGCACCTAGTCAGTTTTGCTCTTTTCACACTCCGCCATTGGGCATGCAGAGCCTCGATCTGGCAACTTTACTTATGTTGTTTCTTTAAAAAAAATCGCTAATTAATTAGCGAACAATTTGAGAAAGTTGAAGGAGTTGAGGAAGTTCATAAGTTCATGGATCGCTATTAGATTCCGGGCAGGAACAGTAGAGGGCGCTATCTGACCATTCACGACAGCCAGTTTAGGCCTCTACACATGACCAACGTTCAGCGTACATGTACACTGAAAGTCAGGAACGCAACTCGGACTCGTCGGAGGTACGGTGCGCCGGCGTCACACGAAATTTGGACTTCTTTGAAATCTGCTTGTTGTATGTACCATCATAGAGCTAGGACCCATGGACTCTATAAGCCCCCACACATGACCTGTTGGTGTCCTGCCTTCACACAGGCATGCGCAGTACAACAAATAAAAATGCTGCATTTCATAGATTTCACACAACATCGGCAAGAAATGGCGTTGAGCCTTCATTTTTCTTTGTTTTCACCTTTGCAGGAGTAGGGTACTATTGAAATGAGCCTTTCTCCAGAGCGGATTTTGACAAAATCGTACCATAGCAATCTACGGTGCCTGTCAGTGGGTTCCACACTTCCAGTACTGTTTTTCTCTCGCTTTTGCCCGTCGCATGTTTAGTCTCCGTAGCGCGTGTTGTTAACCTCGTAACCTCGCATACAGCGGTCGCGATCTCTCGTATCCACACAGAGCGACCGTTCTCCCTCTCCTGGGATCATGATGCTATTAATCTTACGATTGAACTGTAATGCCGTTAAAGGGGTAATCACCCCCGGATGTCTCGAGGCAGAATAAGAGCCTGTCAATCCGGAAGCGTTCCTTTGGGTTGAGACTTGACGAAATTACCTGAGACTCGACACGAAACCATTGACGTTATATTAGCTTTGTTCTATGACCAGAGTTTATTAAAAACTTTATCCCTCGATCATTTCGACTCGACAGTTCATTGTAGTGACTTTTAAACTTAACCAGAATGACTTGAGCCGGACTTGAGACTTGAGACCTTACCAAATTGACTTGGGACTTGACCAGAGTGACTGGAGACTTGACCAGAGTGACTTGACTATAGTGATTCAGACTTGACCAGATTGACTTAAGATTTGACATGAGTGGTTTGAGACTTGACTAGATTGATTTGGAACTTGACCAGAGTGACTTGACACTTGACAAGAGTCAATTGAGACCTGACCAGTGATACGCGAGACGTGATGGTGTTGTATGTTTGGGATTGTTAGCCTTACAATTACCTTTTTACCAGATGACAATTACCTTTTTACCAGAATGACGCTGACTTGAGACTTTATCAGTAGAAATACTTTATACTCGACCATAACTTGAGGATTAAACACGGGCGAATTTAAGACTGTATCCGACATTTTTTGCGATTTCACTACTACGCACTTGACCGTGCTGAGTTGCATACAATTTTCCATATTAAAACAAATTTTCAAATGCTCTTCAAAAACCATTAAATTTCTTTGATAATCCCCGGTTGCGGTTACGGTTTTATCACAAGAGACATTATGTATATGACTTGAAGCTTTGCATGGCGGATGACATAAACTAGACAAAATTGCAGGTAGCACCATGTGGAAAGAAATCTCTTCTTGGAAGAAGTATGGTTCACGGTTGAGTGTACACTCGACGTTTCGGACAGTGTGCTCTGTCTGTCCTCGGGAGAGTGAGAGACACTTATCGAGGAACGTGAAGTTATGGTATCTGTCTTCAGGAAATCGCCTACGTCTACTAAGCTCAAAGAAACTTCGTATTCGCTGGGAATCACAAAATTGAAGGTGGAAGATAGACCCCGCTGGTCGATTTCGGGGGGCAGTCTGCCCTCTTCGCTTCGCCTCTGGTTTTCACATCTATGGCCCGTGGAAATAAAAAGCCGACAAAGAAACTATTTCCTCCTGTAGCCGAAGAACTACAAGAGCAGGCAAAGCGACCGACTTGAGGGGAAGAGAACAGGGTGTAAAGCGGATAGCTTAGACGGGCCCAAGTAAACTTCAGATCGCCTGAAGCAACGGGCTAACCTCAAAGTGTCCCGACAAACCTCGCGTTCACCCGACCGAGAAAACAAAATGGTCTACTTTATATTCCCCCCTCTGGTCTGTTTGCGGTAAACAACGTCGCCGGGCCGGTTCGGTAGCGGTACATTATTATTGTTGTGGTACTTGTGGACTACTTATAAAGACGCGGAAAGCCTTGAGTGTTGCCCAGCGGTCTGGTTGTGGGAGCGCGCGGTGGAAACCTTTCTTCTTTTGTCTTTGGACACCTCGGCGCATTCTTGGCAGCTCCGAGGACACCCTGAATACCTTGCTAATTGGTGGAAACGTCCGGGCAGGACACCACTCTCAACTCACCACTCCCACATTTTTTTGTGTCAGACACCAAAGTTTGGTTCACTTGGTATTTGGGTGAACTTTGTTTGTACGCCTTTATTACTTCTTTCGTCTTTAGTTCTGACTGGTCCATATCGTATTTCGATTAATTAAATGACTGATTTTCGGAACCTTGATGCGTCAATTGGGGACTCGCCCACTGTTCTTAAAAGCACATCAGCCTCGTTGGTGGAGGTTGGTCTAAATAAAAAAAAAATGCGCTTTTATAATGTTGGTTTTGACCTCCATTTCGTATCGCTTATCTGCACTTAATTATTATCCATACTAACTGATGGCCCTCCGGTTTACAAGGGCCTCGAAGACATCAGCTTCTCTCATAAATTAGAAATGGGCAGTTAAAATAAACAATTCAACAGACGAACAGACAAAGTAAAATAAACTCTCCGACGGAAGTTTCGTCAGGTCAGAAAGGTTGGATGCATGTCTCGATTTTCAAAAATGGCTTCTCCCATGTATTAAAAATAGTCAATTAAAATAAATAGCGCAACGAACGAACAGACAGCTAAGCATAAACTGTGAAATAGAAATTTTGTCAGGTTTGGTGGACCGGAACCATGTCTTGAATTTTAAAATGGTGTGTCTCATGTATTAAAGATAGTCAATTAAAATAAATAAGGCAACGGACGAACAGACAGCTTAGCATAAACTGTGAAATAAACGTTTTGTCAGGTTAGGTGGACCGGAACCATGTCTTGATTTTCAAATGGTTTCTCTCATGAATTAAACATAGTCGATTAAAATAAATAATGCAACAGACGAACAGACAGCTTAGCATAAACTGTGAGATAAACGTTTTGTCAGGTTAGGTAGACCGGAACCATGTCTTGATTATCGCCTTGTTTTTACTCACTCCGATCACCTTATCATCACTGCAGCATGCAAGAAATTAGCTGATTAATGGCCTGACAAGTTGTCAAAACAGTAGTGCCCCCGGGGTCGTGACCCCGATGTCACGAGGTGCGTCGGCCATGTTGCCTGTGATTAATTTTTACATGAGGAAACGACACTGGCAGCACATTTGGCGTTCACGTCATCACACCATGACCGAAGGAAAAAACTAAAATTAGACGAGTGATTGGGGAGGTTCTAGTTCATAACAAACCGGGGGAAGTGTAAATAAATCGTGGGCAACGGCTGGCATGTTATTGTCGCGGTTCGCCGAACTTCTGAAAAATAGCTTTCCCTTTTCGGCGGGAATTGTTTACATGTGGCTCAGTTCGTCTGCAGTTGGAAGTGGCGGCGAAATCCGTCGTCAGTTTTTGGCGGCTGTTCTATGGAATCGTGTTTGCTTAAAAACTAAGGGCGTGTCCGAATAACTTGGCTAAGACTGGAAATTACACATGCGCCTATGGAAGTGGCCGCAGCCACTTCCGTATCCACGTAATTTGGACGCGACATAATACAAAAGTAATAAACCGATCCGCATTAGCCGCACCTTCCCAGTGATATTTTGGCCAATCACAGCCGTGATTAATGTCTGACATGTGCGCACACACGCGTGCTCGCGCTTGCGCGTATGACGCGCGCGTCTGAAAAGTTCGGCGTTGCATAATAAAAAGGTGGACGGTATGGTAGTTGCCAATGTGCTCAATGGGCGGGACCCACTGGATCGGTCTCCGCTGCCTTGCTTGGGCGTCTTAGGGGATAAATGCTTTTCAGCAAATTCCTCCAAATTTCTCAGAAATAAAATCTTGTCCAGAGCCAGGACCCTTAATTAAAAAAATATACCAATCCGCAGAGAATTGGTCACAATATTATCTTGTAGGATATATGGTGATGGTGTCCAAATCGTTATTTGGTTTGCGCAAGCATTATGAGTCCTATTTAATTGGTCTGCAATCCTGAATATATGTCGTCAACCAAAACGCCATTTATACTAATTACAACTTAACTTCATCTAAATGAACTAGTCCAAGATCCGAAAGTTGTAACTTCATCTCTTGAAAAAATGTGTACATTGTTTTGTTAGGTAGAGATGATGAGTTGAACCCCCCCCCCCCTTCTTGGAATTTTGATAATTGCAAAACCAATCTCGCATTGTTTTAACTACAGTACGTACAAGACCAAAAAAAATGGTTCAATCTGATCTATAAGAGTCCCATTTTACTGGCCTGTAATACTGAATATAACGTCACTCAAAAAGTCATTTCAGTTTTACAACTTTAGCTTCGTATCGTACGTCTAGTCCGAAAGTTGTAACTTCCTCTTTTTTGAAAATGTATACATTTTTTGTCAATAGGTAGAGCTGATTGAAGTGAGCCCACCCTTTCTTGGAATTTTGATAATGGCAAAACCATTGTTGCCATTGTTTTTACTACAGGACGAACAAGACCAAAAAAATGGTTCAATCTGATCTCCAAATGTCAGTGATTGATGCCCTTCACAGAACCGAAGGGCGTGAACTTGGCAACGTGGAGTATTATGTTGTTTCAGCTGTCGTTGACATTCAACCTCCGCGGATCAAAAGACCCCGCCGCAGTGTGCAACACACATTCTTTGGGTTTTGGGTTTTGGGTTTGGGGAACCACAACAACAAGCTCAATGAAGACTTTGCATGTGGCATGATATCAAACAATTGCTTTTTCTTAAAGGAGTATTTTTTTGTTCTGTTCGAAGTCGGAAAGGACTTTCTTTCCCAACTGGACGTCACTGTTTGTTAAAATAATTAAAATACATTCGTTACAACTGATTATGTAATAACCAACGGATAACGTATCACCAACCGATAATGTAACAAAAATTTACCGATACTGTATCACTAAACGATAATGTAACAAAAATTTACTGATGGGGTACAATGATAATCGAGATCAATGATCGTGTAGTATTAACCACACTGAGTGTCATGGCCTAGCGCTAAAGAGCATCGGACTCATGTTCTGGTGTTTCAGAGGCAACGGTGGCTTCGAGCCCGGGCGCGGACACTTGTGCCCTTATGCAAGGCACTTAACCATTCTTGCTTCGTCCTTCGGATGGGACGTGAAGCCGTAGTTCCCGTGTGTTGTAACTTGTATGTGGCCTAACGCACGTAAACGAACGTAGTAACGCTTATCGCTAAGAGAGGGGGTCCGCCCCGGTGTTTCTGGCAGGAAGGATGAATATACATCAAATTGGTGTGATGTTTCCGCCGGGATGCTCTGCCGACTATATGATACAGATACAGATACACTACCAGTCAATATGTGTTACATTATCGGTTAGTGATACAGTATGTCTCTGGGAGAATCCGGATCCTGCTTTCATTATTAGTCCCATGGAGGAATAAGAACTCCTCCATGTTAGTCCTAACTTTCATTATTAGTCCTAACTTTCATTTTTAGTCCTAACTTTCATTATTAGTCCTAACTGTTCCGTTTCTTCTCTTTCTACAGTTTTGAAAATGAAACTGAAGGAAGTCAAAGAGACGGACGAAGGCATGCGATACGTGGGCGACCCGACCCCGGGCAAGTTCGCGGTCATCAAGCAGGGTAGCCTCAAGCAGAAGGACCTGGCCAAAATGCGCTTCTGGACGCGAGAGGGCGCCAACTGCGGCTGCGACATGCTGCGGCCGCGCAAGGAGAACTTCCTGGTCATGGGCCACCGCGACGGCAAGAAGCTGTACATGACCTACGTGCACATCTGGACCAAGTCCCGCGAGCTCCGCAACGCCAACAAGCAGTTCGCGCAGCCCTGCCCGGGCGACGGCGTGGAGTCCTCGGAGCTACCGGCCACCAAGAAGCCCCGCAAGGACCGAGGGGGGAAGAAGGGCCGGCCGGACAGACGGGAGAGGCCCGGACGGGACGGCGCGGCCGAGACCACTACCCAAGCGGTGACCGAGAGGAAGCTGACGCGGGAAGAGAGGAGGCAACTACGGGAGCAGATGAGGGAGACCAAACGGGAAAACAGACGCAACAAGGAGTAATCCCTTTATTATGTCTAGGCTAATTTATCGAAAGTCTTTTTTTTTCTTTTTCCTAGCAGTTTACATACTCTCACTGGCGACAAACCAAAAACTTAGTACAGTATAGACCCATGAAAATTAGTTAACCCTAACAGAACTCAACCCATCGAACCCCACAGCACGATTTGTTGGAATCTGTCAGGATGGGTACAGTACCCCTAAACTGACAGTCTTTTACATTGGGTTGGCACACCTGCAGAATCAAAGTCAGAAATTATGTGTGTGCACTTCTAGTTTCCCATATAGAGTTAGAATTTGCCAGGATGGGTATGGAATGCAAAATGCTAGGTTGTAATTTTGAAACAATGCCGAATACCTGGGAAGGATGTCTGAATATGTTTAGAGCTACTTAACAGCCCGATGTCTACCACAAATAATACAGCAAAAGCAGATACCATAATTTAATGTTCGTTTTAAGGAACATTAAAAAAAAACCTCTGCAGCTTTTGAGACGATTTTGGGGTCTTGGTTGTTTAAAAGAACTCCAGTGACTTGGTACTATGAGAATTGATTCAGATTCAAAAATGATCGTCTCATTCATGTCACTTGGGCTAGCTCAAAAATGGGCTTATTTTTTTTTAAATAGTTTTCCTGCACCTCCGAGAAGACAAATATCTCCACTAGCCAGATCGGATCGGAATTCGGAAACCACTTCAAAGAAATAAACCAGATTCCGCTTGCTTTTAAACTGTCCTTTGTGGAACGGAACCGTTCGACGGTTTCTTTGTGTTTATAGGTTCTTTGAGTGTTGTGATTCGAAAAGTAACAACAGAGTGCCGGTATTAGATTACAGGCATTTAAAACGTGACCGTGGGCTTGATTTTTTGAGTTGGGCTTGGTGACAATTTCAGAATCACGCCTTTAAGGTGTCTCAGAGACTGTGTTTCGCGTTCAGAACTATTTTGATTAATAATTATTATGAGTGTGACGAAAAGATAAAATGATCGATGTAAGTAATGTAAATAATTGATGCCTGATGTAGTTCTGGGAGGTTTTCAGATTTTCTTTGGTGATCTGAGTGCGGCTGTGTGGCGCAGATTTGGCAATGTTAGTGGCCATATCTAATAGAGGGCGTCCTCTGTGATTTGTATTCATTAACAATGGATGCAAAAGAGGTTCAGTCATGCATATATCCCAGCTAATCAAAGGCATTGCCCTTAGTAAGTTGCTTACGTGAGGTTTATAATGTTGTAGGCTCACTACCTGCTCTCTCACTCTGGTATTGGATCATTTGCATGTGCAAGATTTTTGAACACGTATGCAAATGAGGAACAATCTGGTGCCTGGATATGCTTTACATTAGCGCTTGTTTTTGTATGCGGTGTCTGGGGTAAAACAGAGTCAATTCATCGCAGCGCGAGCATGGCGTGAGTTACGAAAACACGATTTATTCAATTAAACTGTTACGATCTTATATCGAAACAACATGCAGTATCACATTTCATATTGATACGAACAAATTGGAAAGGAAATGAGTATTTTCGAGAAGGCGTGGACGAATGATCGTGAAAACACGTACTGCACGTTTTGAATAACAACACCAAGTACACGATAAAAATCCATTTCTAGCCAATTGCGGTATCGAATCAGGATACAGGAAGAAAGTTTCCTATCCAGGTCTTACTATTGGAAACGCGGTTGGAAATAAAGTAAGCACTGGGGACGAGGTTAAACGCTTTCGTCACCGTGCTCCTGGTTCCCACCACTGATTTGTACATAAAATGTAATGACAGAGATCGATGGTGCCCCATCGACATCAAAACGCACATTCAGTCATGAGAGTGTCTCTACGTCATCAGTCATTCGGCCAATGATCCGACACCAGTGATATTGCGGCTGCGTTTAGACTACCCACAGGGAGCTCGTGATTAGATCGCGCAGCGCCCTCTAGTGGTCGTAAGCGGAGTCCATAACCAAATGCACTTTTACTCGGTATACAGACAGTATGCACTCAGTAGACACTACGGAAATTGTTGAATGTCCCCTTTTTAATTTTACCGCTGAAAGTATGATGTGCCTGCAAGGCTTAATTGTAACGAGTAATGTTCACACCCAAAGCTGGCTACAGAATTTATCCCAAAATTAAACTTTCTTTTGTCTTAGTGAGTGACGCAGGTGTATTTAATTTTGAGATGTATCATTGCAAAAACAAAAACCACTTGCTCATCGTTGCACATAATACTTATTTTTAATTTGTTAACGCTCTGCGATTAAATTTGCTTTTTTTAATTTTATTATCGTTGTACAGATTATCAATTGATTAGAAATGACTCCAGAGCTTTTGCTCTCAAAGTCTGAAAGTGTTTGGATAAATTTAGCACCAAAATCCACGGATTCGTTATGGATGGCAAACGATGGGGATAGTTTTATGTGAAGCGTGTTTCTTAGTTTTTTATTTAAAATTAATTCTTTTTTTCCAAAGAATGAAAATTCACTTATTTTAAATGCAATTTTACTTCATCCCCTGACTGAAAACCACACGTTCTAAGACTAGGAGTGACATTCACGGGTGTTTCACAATGCAGTGCGCCACCAAGAGTTTGCCACGGAGAGTTCATTTTTTCCCAGTGCATTGTGGGAGATGATCGACAACTTCGCAGCGCGTGACGTTTGAAATTCTTTGTTTTTTCCCCGGTCATTTAGGCGTATGATTCGAGTGTAATGTTTGCCCTTTTTTTTTATCAATCATGGTGTTTTTGTAAGGCGGGTGAACGCTATGCCTCAATCTATAACGAATTAGCTCAATGTGTCCACTGACTCTCGTTCAAAGGGCCATGTTTTGTCGACCGTTATAGCATGACTATCCGACACCTTGGCATGAAATGGACTCGTTGGTAATATTGCGCATGCGTAAGATGATAACAGACCCATATAAAGGCTTATAATAGGAGAGTGACTTGTCACACGTCAGGGATTAACCAGTAGTAGGGACAAAGAGTCCGATTTGCACAGGTGTCGGATTTGCATATGACACTGTAATCTTGAAAAATAGACTCCACTGCAAACTCTTGGTGGCGCACTGCATTGTGAATCGCCCAAATTTAATAGATTGTAATTTCACTCAAGTTTTTCAGTGGATTTGTTCTTTTTCCATTTTAACCTAAAAATTGGGAGTGATTTGCCTGAAAGCTAGATCCGCGGCGGTGCGGTTCAAGTGTTTCCAATGGCATTCCGTGTGCAGTGGGCGTGGTTTCAGTTGACATGACGTCACACTTACGAAGCCCATGACATCCAAGGTGAATAAGCCATTTTAATTGCAAGTGAAATTTGAATAAAATCTGGTACGCTGACTTGATCACATGCTTGTTCATCACACGATTTCGGGGCAAGCACTTGCATAGTGACGTTAGAGACGCTCAGCACACATCGTTCAGTCATGTGGGTGAGAATGGCACAAATGGCCCTAGCTGGTGTTGCTAGCATAAGGCTTGCCCCGAATCACGTTATATAGTAACGGTCTCTCTGGTCGGGAGAATGCAAAGCTAAAACGTAAACGCATTTGACTAAATCAGCGTACCAGATTATTTCGAATTTTACTCGCGAATGAGGATTTCTGCGACATAACATCAGTCTAAATGCATACGACGTCGTCAGAGACTGTATACAAAATGTTATTGCTTCCTAAAATATGCTATTACGTTATGGCACAAAAAAGGTAGTATTATGACCCATGTATAAACTGTCCGCATATCCCATAATACTGCATGTACCTTTACAATGTAATAACTTAAATTATATACCCCTAAGCGCGTTAAAATGTGCTCTTGTATAGTGCTAACTTATAGGCTAGAAAGAACTCTAATAATATTATTACATAATGTAAATGGACACCGAGGTGTAGACCTTGAGTTTGTTATCTGTGTTGTTTCCACTCGTTTGAGAAAACCAGATTTGACGATAAGGCCAAAAGAAAAAAGTCTCCGGTTTCTGGTATGCGCGCACGTCGCCGTAGCCATGCGCGTCGGCAAAATGAAAACGTTTTTTTTTTCAATGAAAGATGATGTCTCAAAACCGCCAAACTCACTGGTTTGACTGGAATCCTGCTGTTGCACAATTTTAACGTGTTTTTAGATGGGGTTATGATCGAGAATAAGCTTTATGTGGCCTCTCTGGTCTCCCATAATATTTGCACTAAGTTTAGTCGGGCACCATTTGCAGTCATCACCCGACATTTGAAGAAAAAAAAACAGGTAAAAAAAAAAAGCCGCGTCGCCGCACCACTTTTTGGGCAAGCTCCATACCAAAAACCGGAGACTTTTTTTTTGGGGGGGGGCCTAAGCCTATTATTTTGGTAAATGGCAGACCGAATAGGAGGAGGGCGCTGTTTGATTTTGGGTGAACTCTTTTGGTTGCACCAGAGTACATAAATTCCCATATAGCACCACTGATAAATCACCATACTTCAACAGTCTTTTAAAAATACTTGAAACTCTCACGGCTTTTTTAGGCTCCACAGAAAAATGAGGAACATGTCGTCTTTCATTTTTCGTTTCATTGTTTGGTGGGTTGACCTTTGACTTTTTGAAATATTCTCACCCAAAGAAGAACACCCCTAAAACGAATGATGTTTCCCCAACTGGAAAAGTAGCCATTTTGAAAAAGGATCCCTCCACAACATGGCTAAATAGCCCTACTTTCGGACCCAATTGCATCCAAAATGCTCAGAATTGGAAGCCCCAGGTCCAGGCCAGAGGTTCAGTGCCACGTGTCTTCAATTCCCCAATTCCATGGCTCTCAGAACTCTGTAATGTTGAATAATTTTGAGTGTATAACTTTTATTCGTGAGCTCGACGGACGGCTTTTTGGCAGATTTACTTGGGTGCACCCTTTTGTATTTTTCCAAACCAAACGCGCCCCTTGTGTCAAGTGGTGTCCCCCCCCCCCCCCCCCCCCCCCCCCCGCTTTTCGAATCTCTCCGGCACAGTCCCCGGCACAGATTTTTGGCCGACAGGGAGGGCTGACCGACTATCATTATCGATGTCAACAAATGTGAACACTTTCATTTATGTGCCACATACATGTACATGTACATGTACATGTACATGTACATGCAAGAGCGCCATCTATCTCATTCTCGCGGAGACCGGGCACAGAGGGCGCTGTTTTTATTTGCAGCACACATTGCCAATGGATCATGATTATGCAGCTAGTTCGATGTTTATTCATAGGAAAATTACAATGACGTCACACTTTTGGTTGTCACTCAGTCATGCATAATTATTATGTACATCAGCAAAGTATTTCAAAGGACGATTTTCATCGAGCTGCCACAGTGGCCTACTAGTGGATTGTGGGATTAACTATGGATCGCAAGATGTGTGGTTCGAACCTATGTCCATTTCTATCAAAAAGCTGGTTGGGATAGGTTTAATTGAAGGGAAAACACTACGACAACCCGTGCACAGCGTGATAAATATTCATGTCAGGGTGCGTGATGTGATTGGTTAAAATACGATGCATGCTGCAGAAAAAATACACGCACAGGGGACACATGTAAAACCGTTTTTCCTTCCTCCATGGTAAAACTCATTGGACCACAGGGGTCCACTGTACTAATTCAAGCCCCATTGAAAACAGTGTCAAATCAACAAAGTTCAGGGCCAAGTAACATGCAAGCCAACATCACTGGGGTTTCTCAAACAAAAATAAAATCATTGTCTTGTCTTTCATCTTTGCATTTCTTTTCAATTTAAGGGACATTAGCCAATTACATTTTTAAATATTCACACCCAAATAAAATCACCTCCCGAAAAGTGATAGTTTTCCAAGCCTGCATGTAGCCATTTTACAAGTGGCATCCTTCCACTTTCACCGGCAAATAGGACCCATTTTTCATCCGTGATTTTATCAAGCCTGCCCTCAGATGGATACCCAAAAACCAGGGAGTTGATCCTTGGGTATATTTACACAATTCCACCG